TGAGTGTTTTTATGTCTCATGAGCTAAAAAAGCAAAGCTTCTCTATATACATCTATTTGTATTTTATACTTGTGTACAAATATATGTGTGTCTGTGTGTGTGTGTAATACACAGACACATTAAGATTGTTATCCATGCGGTAGGATATTGAAATGGTGTATCTTGATAATGAAAAATAACACTATTAATACAGTGACATGGTCCTTCCTTTTATAGATTATTCTATACACTGTATTGACTTGCTCCTTGTATCATTGGTTATAAAAATATAGTTTTGTTTATTATTGTTTTCCCAATTTTAACATCTTCTTTTATGTATAGTTCTTAGGAAATTCCAATGTACTATCTTTAAGCAAAGATTCTTGTTATCAGGAAGATATTGTTTATTTATGCTTAATATTCTACTGATGATACTGGGGATGGGATTTACCACATTTGTTTTTCCTTGTGATGTACGTCCTTACTGCTCTGGACATGTATTTCCCAGCAGTTGTTATATGTCCTTTCAGGAATGCTAGGCACCTGACACCACTGTGAACCATTACAGGTCTCTGCACTTCATTTCCTCTGTGCTCCCTGCAAGATCCCTGCACGATAGGTTAATAATTTTTCCATGTAACATTAACTAATGGAGATAGGGGGAGAGAATGGGGGGTTATGGGCATGGAGGAGGGCACTTGTGGGGATGAGCACTGGGTGTTATATGGAAACCAACTTGACAATAAACTATTTAAAAAAATACCTTGGGTGGATGTACTGAAAGATGGGCATAAGTCACCTCATTTAACCTGGAAATTCACTTCTACATCTCATGCTGTTTTTATTTTTATTTTTTTTCTGAGCTCTCCAGCATTTGTTTTTTTGTCTTAAATAGCTTATTGTCAAGTTAGTTTCCGTGTAACACCCAGTGCTCATCCCAACACTGCCCTTCCCCATGCCCATCACCCTCCTTCCAGTCTTCCCCACCCCCAACAGCCCTCAGTTTGTTCTCAACATTCAGCAGTCTCTCATGGTTTGCCTCCCTCCCTCTCCCCAACTATTTTCCCCCTTCTTGTCCCACATGGTCCTCTGTTAAGTTCCTCCGAAGCTACCTATGGCTTAGGTATTGTCCTCCTCAGCCTGACTTATTTCGCTCAGCATAACACCCTCTAGTTCCATCCGTGTTGTTGCAAATGGCCAGATTTCATTCTTTCTCATTGCCATGTAGTATTCTATTGTACAAATATACCACATCTTCTTGATCCATTCATCCGTTGATGGACACTTAGGTTCTTTTCATGTTTTGGCCATTGTTGAGAGTGCTGTTGTGAACATTGGGGGACATGTGCCCCTATGCATCAGCACTCCTGGATCCCTTGGGTAAATTCCTAGCAGTGTTATTGCTGGGTCATAGGGGAGTTCTGTTGTTAACCTTTTGAGTAACCTCCATATGGTTTTCCAGCTGCCTTGCACCAGCTTACATTCCCACCAACAGTGTAGGAGGGTGTCCATTTCTCCACGTCCTCATCAGCATCTAGAATCTCCTGATTTGTTCATTTTAGCCACTCTGACTGGCGTGAGGTGGTATCTCAGTGTGGTTTTGATTTGCATTTCCCTGATGAGGAGGGCCACTGAGCATCGTTTCATGTGTCTGTTGACCATCTGGATGTCCTCTTTGGAGAAGTGTCTGTTCATATCTTCTGCCCGTTTCTTCACTGGATTGTTTGTTTTTCAGATGTGGAGTTTGGGGAGTTCTTTATAGATTTTGGATACTAGCCCTTTATCTGATATGTCCTTTGCAACTATCTTTTCCCATTCTGTCGTTTGCCTATTAGTTTTATGATTGTTTTCTTTGCCATGCACGGAACTCCATACTTCTCTGCCATCTTGCCTCCCCACTCCTGAGTTCTCCAGCATTTAGATAAGGGCAGCAGAATAGAATTTCTCAAATAGAAGGACTGTGGGTAGGTTGTAGAGCTGCGTTTCCTTTCACTTAGCCTCCAATCAAACTTCAGATGTCCTGTCATGTTGTTTTTAGTCTCTTTAAAGAATGAAGGCTCTCTCTTATGTTTGCTAGAGTTACTAGTGTAGAAAGTGGAAATTGTAAATCAATTAAGCCTTGCTGCTGAAAGTTTCCATTTGGTTCTATACTCATGTCACAGATGTACTGTTCCTTATCAGTTCTCTGTTGCTCAAGGAGAAAAAAATATGCATCATATATACTCAATTGTCTTAAATATGTTAATTATAATTCAGCAGGAAAGATCAATGAGACAAAACCTTTGAAAACCCTAGGGGATTCACAAACAATAGCTACGTCGTTGTATCAAAGTGAGTGTTGTCTCTGTGCTGCGTTCAGAGGACACAAAAAGCTTCCACCTCAAATAGATCTATGTGTTTTAAGCCCCTCAAAACATTTCTTGTTTTCAATGACCAAAACAGTTCAATTCTGTAACAGTTATTTTTTTATTCGATTTTTAATATTCATATTTTGTATTGTATCCATACTCTGCTCTTTTGGTCGAAATCTTCCAAAATCCTGGAAGGAAACAGACACCCAGATCCAGGAGTATCAAAATGGTAAAAACAAACAACAACACAGCAACAACATCAAAACGATTTGCTTCCTTTAAGAGACTTATTTAGACATAAAGACACCTGCAGATTGACAATCATGGGGAAATGGAAAAACACATACCGAGCAACTGGATGTCAAAAGAAAGCCAGAGTGGCAAGACTTCTATCAGACAAGCCAGACTTCTTTGTATTTATATTGTGTTTATCCTGGTTGGAGTCAGAGTAATGATCTCCTCACAGGATAGTTTTGAATGTTTCCACTCTTCCACTATTTGTAGGATTTTGAAAAGATTGTCATTAGTTATTTTTTTTACATTTCAGAATTAACCAATGGATACATGTGATCTTGGGCTTTTCTGTGCTGAGAGACTTTTTACTTTGAATTCAACTTTTATTTTTCTTATAGGTATAAGAAGATTCCTGAATTCTTGGGCTCAGGAGTCATACTTCAATCTTAGTAACTTGTGCATATTTAAGAATTAAGTGGAAATATTTTTTATTTATTTCGTTCTGTGTTTGAAAGAGAGACACAGTATGAGCAGGTGAGGGTCAGACAGAGAGAGGGAGACAAGGATCCAAAGCAAGGTCCAGTCCCTGAGCTGTGAGCACAGAGCCCAATGCAGGGCTCAAACTCACTAACCCTGAGATCAAGATCAGAGCCAAAATCAGATGCTTAACCAAGTGAGCCACCCAAGCACCCCAGTGGATTTCTCTCCTAGTTATTTGACTTGTTAGTATATCATTGTTTATGTAGTTGAAGCGCTGCCAATTTTGTTATTCTTCTCGTTAAATTGGGCATTACTTTCAATGTTATGTCTGGTCTCTATTTTATTTACTTCTCACTTTCCTTTCTAAAAAAAATAATTTCAGATGTTGCTTTATTATTTCTTCCTCTACTAAATTTCGGTTGTTTTCTTTTCTAGTTCCTTTTGGTGTAATGTTATTTATTTCAATTTTTTCCTTATCTGACGTATTTATACCATTAAAAATTAGGAAAATCAAAAGTAGTAAAAAATTTAGCAGAAATAATTCAAGCATTGACCAAAACAATACAAAATAAAAGTAAGGATTCATTAGAGTTTTCTATAGATCCTGTGAACTGTGAACAGAGATGCTTTTTTTAGGAGTTTGTAGCCTTCATTACAGTTGATTTTGTAACCTGATAATGCTGTTATCACAGAGATGATTTTCATATTTTCCTTTCTGGTATGACAAAGAGTATTTTCATGTTTTGCCTTATCTTCACTCCTTGGAAATAGTTGAGATTTACAGTACTTTCTCATACAATGTTTGTTTGAATTATCCAGTGAATTTATGAGACATAGGACTTTCCCTTCTTTGGAGTTGGTTTGGGATTTTTGTTTTTTGGATTTTTTTTGGTTTATTTTTAAATTAGCCTTTCTTTATTTTTTTTAATCGTTTATTGTCAAGTTGGTTTCCATATAACACCCAGTGCTCATCCCAACAAGTGCCCTCCTCCAGCCCATCAACCTCTTCCCCTCCCCCCCACCCCATCAGTCCTCAGTTTGTTCTCAGCATTCAAGAGTCTCTCATGGTTTGCCTCCCTCCCTCTCCCCCACTATTTCCCCCCTTCTTCTCCCCCACAGTCCTCCATTAAGTTCCTCCTAATCCTCCTATATGTGCAAACATATGATATCTGTCCTTCTCTGCCTGACTTATTTCGCTCAGCATAACACCCTCTAGCTCCATCCATGTTGCTACACATGGCCAGATTTCATTCTTTCTCATTGCCATTTAGTATTCGATTCTGTAGATAAACCACATCTTCCTGACCCATTCATCAGTGGATGGACACTTAGGCTCTTTCCATGTTTTGGCTAAATTACCCTTTCAATCTACTTAGTTGTTGGCAGTAGTGATCTTTTTCTCATGATGGAGTATAGGTGGCTATATCTTTTTTTGAATTATTCTCATCTATTGGTAACAATATGTGGACATATAATTAGCCATTGTTGCCTCATACTCATTTTTCTTTCAATGGTTCAGTTATAATGTGTCTGCTTTCATTTCACTGCTGTAAGGAAAGTTGGTCTCTTCTCTTTCATTCTTACTTGATTGAAAAGTCTGTCAGTGTTGATCTTTTCTAAAAGCCAATGCTTCCTATGGTTAATCTGGTCTTACTTTTTCTGTATCCTACTTTGCTAATTTCAGTTTTATGTTTAAGTTTCCTTCGGTGGTAATTTTGAGCTTGTGTGTTACGTTTCCTGATTATTTGAGGTATAGGAAAATGATTTGTACTGTAGCATGACAATGCTACAAAATTATTGGACTGAATGTGCTGTGTGCAAGTTTTGTGTTAATGGAGAAACCATTTAGCTGACTTTATCTGAATGATTTTAAGGTTTATAATAGAGATCTTCAGTATATTCATCTGAGAGTAGTAAGTGGGATGATTTTACTTTCCTGTTTTTGGTATCTTTCAGCTGTATCTTCACAATGCACCCAGAGTCTCCTGCCACAGCCGTCCTTAGAACCTTTTCTCCAAGCAGTGTCAGTGGGGGAACATAGTGGCCTTGAGAATGACTTACACTTACTGATAGACTGGGACAACAATGCGGAGAGTCAAGGGCATGAAACATATCAGGAAGGACATATCCAAATGGAGACATCTGCCCATAAGAAGAATCTCACTGCCCGACATGGTGAAAAATATCAAGTATTTGGCAAAACCTCCCCTTTTAAGTTAGCTACTTCTATCAAGCAGTGTGTTTCAGTAACCAAAACCTCAAATCAAATATTCAAACATAAATATTTGTCAAAAGAAAATCTGGAAAATCTGGAAAGTGACCTCATTCATGTTGAAAATAAGAATTTGAGCCAATTTGAAAATAGGATTGGATTGACCTTTCAGTCAAATGTTTCTGAACATCATAGATTGAAAACTAAAGAAGAAAGCGTTAAATGGAATCAATTTGAGGGGTGCGTCACAAAGTCAACCCTAGAAAATTACCAGAAGATTCTGAATGGACATCGAATTGCTGTTTATAATGAATCTGGGGAGAAATTGGACCAGGGCTCAAACGTTAACAAATGTCTACATACTCCATTGCCAGAAAGCCATTTTGAATTGAATAAAGATGAGGAAGTCTTGTCTCAAAGATCTAAACATATTATACAGACAAGTACTCATCTGAAAGAAAATCCTTGTAAATATAACGAACGAGGGAAAGCTCTGAAGCTGACCTCCAGTGCTGGCGATCATCAGACAATTTGTATGGGAAAAAACGCGTACACATGTAGTCAATCTGGAAACACGGTTAGTCAGTCACCAAGACTAAATACACAGAAGACGATTGGTCCTGGAGAGAAAGGGTACACTTGTAAGGACTGTGGCACCGTCTTTCATTGGAGCTCAACACTATCTCAACCTCAGCGAGCGCGTGCTGGAGAGAAACCATACACATGTGAAGAATGTGGTAAAACCTTTGAGGACTGCTCATCACTAAACAGACATGGGCAAATCCACATTAGAGGGAGACTTGCCAAATGTCAACAATGTGGCAAGACCTTTAACAGGCACTCCTACCTCACTAGACATCACCGCATCCACACTGGAGAGAAACCTTACCAATGTAAGGAATGTGGCAAGTCGTATACCCACCCCTCAAACTTTACCAAGCACCTCAGAATCCACACTGGAGAGAAACCTTACCAATGTCAGAAATGTGGCAAGGCCTTTTGCGAGCACTCAGGCCTTACTCGACACCTCAGAATCCATACTGGAAAAAAACCTTACAAATGTAAAGAATGTGGCAAGGCCTTTAGCCAGTACACAAACCTTACTCAACATCTCAGAATCCATACTGGAGAAAAACCTTACAAATGTAAAGAATGTGGCAAGGCCTTTAGCCAGTACGCATACCTTACTGGACACCTCAGAATTCATACTGGAGAAAAACCTTACAAATGTAAAGAATGTGGCAAGGCCTTTAGCCAGTACGCAAACCTTACTCAGCATCACAGAATCCATACTGGAGAAAAACCTTACAAATGTAAAGTATGTGGCAGAGCCTTTAGCCAGTACGCAAACCTTACTGGACACCTCAGAATTCATACTGGAGAGAAACCTTATCAATGTCAGAAATGTGGCAAGGCCTTTTGCGACCACTCAGGCCTTACTCGACATCTCAGAATTCATACTGGAGAGAAACCTTACAAATGTAAAGAATGTGGCAAGGCCTTTATCAAGCACTCAAACCTTATTCGACACCTCAGAATTCATACTAGAGAGAAACCTTATCAATGTAAAGAATGTGGCAAGGCCTTTAACCAGCACTCAAACCTAACTCAGCATCTCCGAATTCATACTGGAGAGAAACCTTATAAATGTAAAGAATGCGGCAAGGCCTTTAAACAGCACGCACACCTTACCAAACATCACAGAATTCATACAAAAGAGAAACCTTGAAAATATAAAAAGAACGTCAGTGCCTGTAAGTGACCCTCAGCCCTTACTGGACATCAGAAAATTCCTATTGGAGACTAACCATACAAATGTAAACAATGTGGCAGGCTCCCCCTGAAAGTCATAACTTACTCAACATTCTAGTTATCACATAGGAGCAAATCTGTGAAACGGAAAGACAGTGTCCTCCCCTTTACCTAGAATTCCATCTTTGCTCAATATCACGAAATGCAACCTTGATGCAAGCCCTCGAAATGTAATGAATGAGGAAAGACCATCATTTTACAATAAACTTTAGCAAACACCAGAGAGTGCATATATGAAAGTAACTGGAAAGATAGATTTACCAAAGTATTAAATTGAACATCAAAAGTCAATAATATTACAGAAATCAAGTAGAAAGCAGTACATCAGTCACTCTCTTCAGACACTATGTCAAAATACTTGTAGGGAATAGGAGAAAGTTAAACACTTAGAAAACATAGGTGCTATTCTGGTTCCACAGATAAAGTGGATGTGTTTTTGAGTAGGTATAATTAACTTCATAATGTGCTTGCTTTTTTTTTTTTTTTTTTACATTGACCCTGTTTGGGATTAGTCAATAGCAAATATTAATGTATTTGCCTCTCAAGTCACTACAGATTACTCATTTATTCCCAGCGGGTATGTGAAACGATTGGCTGATTGTTGTTGCATCAAAGATAAGACATGCCCTTCTTCATTAGGCAGGAATCGTGCGTATCTAATTTTCCACAGAAGATAAAGGACGATATGATGTACAACATGTGAAGAAAATCTAAATGGAGATACTCTTTGTGGTTATAAGATTGATGCAAGTTACCATGAAATAGGTGTTCAGAACACTATGCTTCTCCATTTATTAAAACTAAAATCTTCCTGAATATTAGAAATAAAATGTTTCACGATATGGTCTTAAAGAAAAAAGAGGTAGCAGTCCAGTGAAGTACTGGTAGATCTTCATAATAGCAAGAGGGCATATGAGTTGATACAGCTGCCATGAAGACGTCTTCACAGACACCAGAAAGAGGATAGCTACCTCTTCCCAGGAATGGCATACAGTTGTACATGCACATGTCTCAAGAATTACCTCAGGCTTCAGATTTATGTAAAGACTACTCCCACATCATTATGTCAGCATATGAATGGTCTTTTTAACGTTTGTATTCTGTATATTGAACAAGGACTTGTTGAGTTGGGTGGATTTGAAATGCACAAATTAGTCTGTAAATATATTTTAATTAATAAACATGATGGTTTTATGTGTTAACAGGGATATGTGATGAATGAAGTGTGATTCCTACCAGCGATGTTTATCTATCGTCTTTATTTTAAGCTTGTAGGTAACTGATGGAATCTGTAACTTATTTACTAACTCAATGTCATAACATACCTAGTAATCCATTTTCTCAGCAGCCTTAGGATTTACATTATATGTCATTATTTTTCCCCTGGTTTATCCATTGTACCACTTTCTCCTCTTTGTGAATATGGTGATATTATGATGGATATGTTAGTGATCCTATATGGGTGCTGTTGAGCTTCTGTCTAAAGTACTTCATGAAACTGCTATTTGGAATTCATTTTTCGCAGCCAGTATATCTTTTTAAGTTTATTTCTTTATTCTGAGAGAGAGACATAGAACATAAATATGGGAGGGAAGTGGGGGAAGAGAGAATCTCAAGCAGGCTCTGCTGTTAGCACACAACCCAACACAGACTTTGGACCCATGAACTATGAGATCGAGAACAATCAGCTTAACCTACTGAGGCACCCAGGTGCTCCTAGACAGGCGTTTTACAGGGTCTTGACTGATACCAGCCCCCCTCACTAGTACGTTCCCTAGACAACACCCTACAGAGTCACAAGATAATGCGACTTCTGATCAAACCTTTTTAATCTGCCCTTGTGAGCCACCAGGTCTCCTTTCTCCCAATGCTTTCCCTTCTGTGTCCCTTACAGAAGGCACAGAGCTTGATTTAACCTGTTTTAGTTTGAATGGCCCAGTCCGGACATATCCAGGGGCTCTAAAGCATGCCACCATGGCAGCTATTCCAGGTATGTGCCCCCCCTCATAAGGGGTGTGGAGGTATTGTTTTGTTGTGTGCATGAAGTGAACATGCACATGCTAGTGCTGGGTGTGTAATAGACACCCCATAAGTAGGAGAAACAAATTCCAGTAGTAGTGATCTTGTAGCCCCAGGTAAGACATAGAAAATATACAAGGTAAAGAATTAGCATATGCCATCTGCATGTGAGAAAGACCCCTGTCCCAGGTTGCACAACTGAGACTGTATGTAGAAAAATCACTTCTACTTGTGTTATTTCTGAGTTGTCTCTGTATCTCCAGTTCTGTGTTTCTTCCTTTTTGATTCCAGCTACAGAAGCATCACAAACATTGTTCTTTGCCTGTGTTGTGGTGAGAGTGTCCTCACTAACTGCTTAGTTGAGACGAAAGACAGGTAAGGCCAATGGGTATTCAGATGTGTAGCGCTGGGATGTGGGATGGGAATCTAAGTAAAACATGACGATGCCATCATCCTTAGAAAGACCTATGAAAGGAAAATGTGAAGGACTCTTTCCAACGAAAGGAGGTAACTCGAGGTGGCTCCCTTTAGTCACCCCGGGTCATAGGCAGCTCTTGGTGGTGTCATCGGATGAATAAATGTCATGGGGATCAGGAATTGGCAAATGTGGTGGGTTTTGAAGATTGGGGATGTCCTCCTTTATCTTCATGATTTCACTGAATTCCTTTTTGTCTTCCTGAGGCCCAGAGGCTGTTCGTTGACAAAGATTACTGGTTTGCCCAGGCCAAGACCAGAGGCGGTGGAGGGAGGAGGGATTTTAGATGATGCAGGTATTTTGGGCATAGCTGTAAAATGTCACATGGCAGGGTGGCAGAGTAGATTTTGGAGATGAAGGAGACTTCTGGACACTGCAATAGGCAGGGTCAGCAGGACGTGTGCTGTAGTTGTCCCCGAGCACTAATATCCCAGGATGGAACTCCAATGACAGTTCTATCCGGTGTAGATAGGTGACCTTTCAGGACAGCTGATTCACTGCTGTGAAGGACCTCCTGCCTTCAGTCAGCCCCGTGATGAAGAGAGTCCTGTGCTCTGGTTCTGTCCATAGCCCAGATTTGTTGGAGCCGAAGTTCAGCAGTGAGAGGTAGTGAACTTTTCTGTTTCAAATAGTCCAGCACAAGTGTTCACTGACTCTTGATTAAATAAAGATTTGGTATGTATGTGTATATATGTACGAATATACCATAGAATGTTAATAGGCCATGAAAAGTTATGAAACCTTGATATTTCAGTGAGTGGATGGTGCTATAGAGCATTTTGCTAAGTGAAATAAGTCAGAGAAAGACAAATTGCATATCATTTCACTCATATGTGGAATTCCAGAAATAAAACAAGTGAACAAGGGGGAAAAAAAGGGGGCTGGGGGTTGAGGCAAACCAAGAGAAAGACGCTTTAGAGAGCAAACTGATGGTTACCAGAGTGGAGATGGGTAGGCAGATGGGTTAAACAAGTTAATGGGAATAATGAGGTCACTTGTGAGTTGAGACCTAGGGATTCTATGGAATTGTTGCATCATTATATTGCCCACATGAAACTAATGTTACACTATATGTTAACTAACTGGAATTTAAAGAAAAACCTTCAGAAAAATGTTTTGTTTTTTACAGATTTTAGAAACTTTTCCTCTTATGGTAACTGACATGCATTAATTGCACAGAATATAATTTGGTAGACAAATGGAAACACTTATCTTTTCTCCCTACCTGGTTCTTCCAGATTCCAGAAACTCTCAGTGACTGTTCTTCTATGCTTGCCAATATACATATATGCATACTTTCAATAAGGAGCTTTTCTCCTTATGACAAGATGCAGTTGGAAACACTGTTAGGGAACCAAGGCTTTCACTAGAGTTTCATTGCTGAGAAAGACCTGAATAATTCAGTATGAGGAGATAGCTCTAAAGATCTCTGATGGACATCATGGATCCAATAAAGCCCCCTTGGAAGTATGACCAGGATACTTGCTTACAGAGTCCCTGAGACAGCCTTACCAGGTGAATCAAGAACTGTATTTCCTAATAGGTTCAAGAACCTTGGAATATTTTGGAGAATTCATGAATATAGGAATTCATCCAAATCTATAGGTTTTGCAGGCACAGTGTGAGGGCAGGTATTGGCTTCATTTCTGCCCTTTAGAGCTTATTAAAAGTTCAATCTAGGGGCGCCTGGGTGGCTTAGTCGGTTAAGCGTCCGACTTTCGCTTAGGTCATGATCTCGCGGTTCGTGGGTTCGAGCCCCGCGTCGGGCTCTGTGCTGACTGCCAGCTCAGAGCCTGGAGCCTGCTTCAGATTCTGTGTCTCCCTCTCTCTCTGACCCTCCTCTGCTCACGCTGTCTCTCTCTCTCTCTCTCCTAGAAATAAATGAAACATTAAAATATTTAAAAAAATAAAAAAGTTCAATCTAGTGATTCTTTATGAAAACACCAGCAAAGCTAGTTTTAAAAAAATCTATAGGTCAAACCTCTACTGTGGCTGCACTTATGTAAATAATGAGGTCACATTTTTCTCAAAATACACTGAGTTTGCAATCCAATTAGTGTTAATTTGGCTCTGCTTTGTAAATGAGAGTAATTATAGACAACACTGTTTCAGTAACACATCTTTGTAGATTTCGACTTTAATAATATTCATCATAAACTGTACCATATCCTGATTTTTCTGTCCTCAAATGCCTGGCTAGAAGTCCCAAGGTAACATTTGTATTAAATTTTTATTGACTTTGAGAGAGAGCGCGTGTACAAGCAAGGGAGGGCCAGAGAGATGGTGAGAGGGAGAATCGCAAGCAGTCTGTCTGCTGTCAGGGCACAATCCAAAGCTGGCTCAATCTCAGCAACTGTACATTTGATGACCTCAGCCAAAGTCAAGAGTCCAATGCTTCATGGACTCAGCCACGCATGCATCGCCCCTTCCCCAAAGGAACATTTAGATTTTTCTTCTACCTCTCTGTGTTGGAATCATTGGAGAACTATAACTTCCTTCTTTCCTGAAGCTCTGAAAACTTTATACAAGTGACTTGATATAAAGAAATCGTCATTACAGTTCATGTACAGACCATCTTAGTGTTGTGCCTCTATGGGCCACTGAAAAGCTTATCAGAGGCATTTGAACTATAAACCAGGAAGATCCATCAGGCTACCCCTACTTGCCCTCACTGTATCTGAAGATGATTGAAGCCTGACATCTAGACATCTGTGCCACTGGCTACCCTTTGAAATCAGAAACTGGCTTCACAGTTGATCTAATCAGGAAGCATAGTTGTCTTCTTTTGTTTTCATAGAAATGTCTCATTGAATCATATTACATGAACCACAGGGCTTTCTTTGAAAAGATACCTGCATCTTGGCCACCTAAAACGAATTTGACTAGGGAGTGGGTAAGATGGCGGAGAAGTAAGGAGCTCCATACATTGCAGTCGCCCCCATATCTCGCACGGAAAAGATCTGAAGCCATAGGAAACCTTACAGAACCCAAGAGATTGGGAGAGAAAGGACGCAGAATACACTGAGAAAGCCTCCTAACCTGAGTGAGAACTGGAGAAGATAAAATCGGGCTGGGATCGCAGACTCCAGGGATGGGGGCGATCCCCCCCTGCAGGGAGTGAGAGGGGAAAAAGAGTCTGAAACCGCTCAAGACACGATCCCTGTCGCTGGGAAACAGGAAAACCTCCGCTCGGGGCACAGAAGAACCATGCACCCCAAATCCCTGCTCTCCAGGTCCCCGCGCGCCAACTCATCCCTGAGGGGCTGTGCACAGACCACTTCATTGTGCTCCTGGCTGTCAGGACTCAGAGGAGCTGCGCGCCTCCGCGCCATTGTGCTCCTGGCTGGCCTGACCCCTGGAGGAGCTGTGCACGTTCGGGGCCTCCGCGCTCCTGGCCTGGTTGGATCCCTAGAGGGAAGGCGAAGAGCTGAAAAACTGGGAGATTTGCCCGCGAGTTCATGTTTCGGGTGACGAGACACAGAGGGACCTGGTTTCCCTCTCTCCAGCAGGCCCGGCGCGCCCCACAGGCAGACCCTCGCCCATGCTCGCCAACCCAACCCAGAGGAGAAGGGAACAGCGATTCTGGCTCCATCCCCAGGGCCAGGGAAGAGACTTGGAATTGCCCTGAAGAGATCACCTGCGAGGTTATGTCAACTCAATTTCAGTGAGGTGCACAGGCTGGGATTTGGAAACTAGGCCTGGCCTGGGTTAAAGAGTGCAACCCACTTTGACTGTGCCCCCGGCATGG